GGAGAGATCCCGGCCCGGGGCCCCATTGCCCCTGGGGTCTCTCCATGTTGTCCTTGTATAATACGTAGGGCGCGCCAGTATCTGGAATCAGACAAGTCGAACGAACCTTTATCGATGCGTGCTCGTGAAAAGTAACAAGCGTCCGTTTTACTTTTGTCGTTGTGCTCTCTAACGGGAGTTCGTTCCGAGGGGACTGCTAATTAAACGTTTTTTGGTTCCTTGATTGTAACAGTTGATCGTAAAATACCTCTAATATTATTACAACAAAGAGATTAGTAAGATTCTTTCGTTTAATTACCAAGCAGTAAAGGGAGAGACGCTCGACGTACGTAAAAGGTGTACGCGTAATCCTATTAATTTCTCAACGTTAACGACCCGGTATATTAGATCAGTAACGGAAGCGTGGCCATATTCTTAACACGCGCCATGGCTGGTTACTAGCAACGAATGTGTGGTATTCGATTCGTCACGCTCGTAAAATTTCAACCCGAGACGATCGCTTTATATGTAGTACGCGGCAAAGTGGAAACACCCTCCCTCTGCCTCTAATTAAGAATCGTTCGGACGTTTCGCGCGCGGCCAAGTCGATTTGTTGGCGAAGAAACTGCCTGGTTCACGAGCAACCCTGCTTTATCGCGTCGCATTTAATCAGTCCACGATCTGTACGCAGTTAAACTCGCGTTTCTTCACCGCGTGTTCGGCAAACAACTTTTAGAGAGAGCAAAGCGAAACATTGTATCAGAGATCGACGGTGTGTGCACACTTTCTAGCACGTCGAATCGACCACGTTCCTGGTCACGCATGGTCAGATACGTCCGGTTCGAGCTTCGCAAGTTCAACGGCTGTTATGCAGGTCGGATGCACGCGGGGATACACGTCCGCGCGAATGATTTATGAAGTGTTCCACTGTATCTGCGATGTCGAATCTCCCTACCCTTCTGTGCGCGCAAAAAACTCTGCCGTCTCCGCTGTACGTATCTCTCTCCGTCGTTTCTTCGCGCCAACCAGAGTATTCCATCCTTCTCGCCTCGTGGGCGTCGCTAGTTTTCGAATACACCGGGAAAAAGAGCGAGTGTATCGATAGTTTACGCGGAATACGAGAAATGACAAACGAACTGTATGGAAATAGAAAAGCTCTGGATCTATCGTCCGAACGAACGAAGCTGTTTAGTGAAAAGTAGATAAACGAAAGAAAACTGGTACATCGACTCTTACATCATTCTATAGCGTTACATACGTGTGATTGACTACGATTCCCAGAGATACACGCTATAACAAACGATAAAGTTGATCTAAGGTTAGCTTAGAATTTGCCTGCTCTGTCTACTTATTCTCTCTAATTCTACCAACTTTACTTCTGCTCGATCAACCTATGCATGCCGTTCTACTATCTTTCTTAAGAAATTTCAAAGTACATGAACTACCAAAGTAATTTCGAATTCAAGTCCAATCATCTCTCGATCAAAACTAAGTTTCTATCCCTTCTCGGCGGGGGGAAAAAAAAATAAAGTAGCGATCGTAGAGGGGACAAGAGGGGTAAGGGCTCTGTCCGTGGAAGGAAGAGCGAGGCAGAGGTTATAATCGTGGCCCCGTAAATGGCATCGCGGCGGGCGACACGCGTCCGCTGCAATCGCGGCTATCACGTACAGTCGCATTACAAGGAGGAAAACAACGGTTCCGCGGCACATCTCGCGATTATGGAATTCGCATTATGCAACGTTACACAAAGTGTGTGTCCGTTTTATCGGATTAATTACCTCGCTCTTTATTCCATTCTTTCGTTTATCCGCGCGGCCGTGCTAACGCCGCCCGCTTCTACCATACGCGGATGCTACTCGCGCGCCTCTTTCAGCCCGTCTTTTGTTTTTGCGTCGGGGATGACGCATCGACGGATTATCTTCGCTGCTCGGGTCCGTTTATTAATATCGAGCCACGCTTTCTTGCGTACACGGCCTCTCTCCTCTTTCTCCCTCTCCCTTTCTCCACTCACGTTTATTCGTGTCATTTCTTTTCCTTCACTTTTTTTTTCTTCGTCGCTTTTTTTCGTCGTTCCCCTGTCCGCCCCTGGTCCCACGCGATCAAAAGGAAAGACACACGTATCGCCGTAGCACCAGTGGCTTTTGTTGCTCGTTCCCGGACGATACGTTTCAGCGGCGGTGACAAGTGTTATTGAACCTCCCAGCGGAAAAAGATACGACGTCGCGCGGACAGCCAGACCGCGAGCGCTAATTGTTGCAATAACGTCGCGGGAAACGAACTGCCGGCGTATTACAAGAATTTTCAACGAGCCTCGCTGCGAATGCCTGAGATTTTAGGAAAGATGAATTCGAACGTGAAACTTGGACGAGCCGTTTGAAATGGCACCCGATAGAATTTGATATGGAAAGACGTTGGAAAGATTCTTATCGACAGGCCACTCTACACTCTGCAAGCTTTATTCGATATTCAATTTCGAAATCGTGGAAGTATCGAATATTGAAGAATTATCGAATGAAAATATTTTACGCGGGACGTGTACGTATCTAAAGGTAACGAGAATTATATTTTACAAACGTTAAAGGGTATCATCGTCGATCCATGACGACTTGGCCATTAACGTGGAATCGTGGCCGATTCCACGGATCCAGCGATTAATCCAAATTGTACGTGCAACCATGCTTTCTCTGTCTTTCCGTCTCTATCTGAAAACGATGCCTTTTTCCCTGGGCGCAAATGAAAGGAACGAGTTTGCCGCTGTTCATCACGCTCGATTGTTATATATGTCTTCTGATACGGCTGCTTGGCAGCTGATGTACGCTCGCGATCACGGAATCTGCTGCTCGAGGATCGATCTGATTTATGTTTGAACGCCGAGGAATGCCTGGAAAGCTGGAAAACGTTGCTACGTTCGAGCGATATTTTGGCAAGGAAATTTTAATTTCGATGCATTCTCACAGTCATGTCAATACGAAGAATCGTTTTAATTCGGCATAGAAAAATGAAGCGTTACGAAACGTTCGTTAAATTCGATCAGGTTTTCAGATTTAATGGATCATTCGTCAAGTAACATTATATCAAACGAACGAGTCTGATTTTCCATACCTCGCACCTTTTTAATCATGTTTTCGATCCCGTAAAACGCAACGGCGATTTAATCCATCCCCTCTATCCTATCAAATATTCACCTCAAACGGTGCGCCATTTTCGCACGGATTTACCTCGTAAACATATGTATATAAAGTCCTCCTCCGCGCTGTTACGTAGTCTCCATTTAGTCTCGCTCGAGTTTCTTTCACGAACGAAAAGAAAAGCAGCGAAAAGAGAGAAAAGACGAAAAGAAAAAGAACAATTGTCGTAAACGCGATCATTGATTCGTACCGATGAAGTTGGAGCTGCAACGGGACGACTTGAAAGATTGGCGAGAGGCAAGAAACGATGCCCAGCAACGATTCATTTTTTTCCCTTCCACCCCTTTTCCATCTTTTTTTCGCTTCCTTATCGCGCGACGTCAGGATTGATCGCCTGCATCTACATAACATTATCGCTTATTTATTCCGCCGGCTGTTACTGAAACGGTCTCCCGTATCATTAATTACGTTAATGAGTTTGCACGAATATACACACGAGTCGATACACGTGTGTGCATGCATGTATATAAATATACCTATGTATTTACACCGGTGTCTCGTAATCAATAAACAAGTCGCGCGATTTGCATTGAGGAGACGCGAGTCGGAAATAGGAATCGCGAGGACGCAAAACGAAAGATTTGTGACTCTTCTCCCTCCTTTTTCATTCTTCGTTCGGGTGCGACTTTCGAAACGACTCCTCCGATTACTATACACGTATGGAATTTCGTTTCTTTAAAGTTTGAATTTGGCAGGCAAACAATCTTGTCAAAGATGAACAAATTTTCTATAAATTACCTACGTTCAATGTCAAGAATGTGTCTAGTAAAAATATCAGAAACTTCTTCTTGGTTCGTCATGAATAATTAAAATATTCCTTGTATTTGTAATACTTTTATAGAGTTTCGAGCTTACAATCTATAAGAGATTTTGCTGCCAATGTAAATTTAATAGTTCCAGACGATTGAACGAATTTTCTATTTCAGCCAGATAATTTTTTGTTTCATAAACGACTGTAAAATATATTACAAAATAAGGAAAGTGTAACGATTTTGAGAACTAACAAATAATTTCGTGAATTAATTTGTATGACTCAGGAACGATCGAGTTGATTGATCGTTGGGAAAATGTACAGAATGGTATGGAAATTATATCAATTAAATATACATATTAATGTTTCGAAGAAATTGTTTACATGCATAATATATCGACAACGCGTCGACACTTTTGGCTATCGAGAAGTGACGTACCGCGCGTGTTTTTAGACGCGATAAAACTCTCAGATAACGGACAACAAAGTCGACGAAGAAGAAGAAGAAAACTATCCGGTGGAAATGTCTATCGAAACAATAAACTGGCAACGCCGATAAATCCGCTGATTTTCTGTTCCAATCGAATATCTCTACTAGCGTTAATCCGATCTTAATGCTCGTCTTTTAAGGTAAACGGTATATACGTGGATTTATCAGAATATTCGTCTTCGATAACCATGACTTTGAATTCTTTATCTGAATCCACGTTTGCATAATTCATTTCATACGTCGTGATATCTCATGCGATTCCAGGAAACTACGAGAGACTCGTAAGAGTGGATAATCGCGTTGAAAAATCTTATATGCTCTCGCGTGTGCCATAATAGAAATATTATTAGAAAACTCTAAATGGCTTTATACTAAACTTCTTCCGCGTCGTTTCATAAACTATCAAACATTTCCAAAGAAATTCTCTAACATAGGATAATTATTTTAAAGAATCCTATATACCGCATTTACATATATTATGAAAATCAAAGGGGAATAACATGTCGGTAGAAAATTAACGACACAGTATTTGTACAGTAGCCGGATTTTATATTATATTTCTCCGGCATCGGATGTTTCGCAAGAGGCGTTTCTCGATCCGCAGCCAGTTCTCATTAGCAACATCCATTCGAGCGATACTTCATTGAGCGGAACGGTCTCTCGTCTAACGGGA